TTTTTATAAAGATTAAATTATAATTTATAATAGAAAAATATAAAAATACCTCATATCCTTTAATAGATCTTACAGCTGATACAAGTGCTACAGCAGCAACATGTTGAAGAAGCGAGACATAACGACCGAGACTCGACATTATAGAAATGTGTACTTGTAAAGTAAACATGGCACAACCATTTGGACTGAGCCATTTATTATTATATCGCCCTGGAAATAACGCAGTCATACTATTTCTGCATATAATCAAAAATGAAAAATAATACCTCGTCCGTGTATTTGTTGCCGTGGAATAACTGCCAGTCCGTGTTGTAATCGGGCATTACTCACATGCATAGATGAAGTCAAAATATCGGCGTATATCACTAAGCGGCCCAATTCTTTTGTACACAGATTCTGTAAAAATAAATTTTGAATTTATATCAAAATATGATAAAAATAAAAAAAATTATTTTTTTAAACTTTAAATTATATGTAGCGCTTTGAACTTAAGTGAATCTCTAAATATGTACAATCTGCTAATGTTTAAAAGAGAATTTACTTCAAAATAATCTACAGTCGAGAAATTAGGCGGGCACATATGCATCATAATAGGGAGAAACTTAGCAGATGGTGAGTGCGCATCATCGTTATTTGCGCAAAATTGAATTTCTATGTCTGACATTTTTAATATGTTATTTTTATCCATTCTATTCTTCAGTTTTTCAAGCAGCTTCATCTTCATCTGCAAATATATAATGAAATACGTATAAATATTGAGTAAGAATAATCAAATCTATAATGGTCAAAGCTAGATCTTTAATACTTAAATAATTATATAGTGTGTACACATATATATATATATAATTCAAATGTAAAATATATATATGTACAAATATATATATATATCATATTTGTAGTTATTTAAACTGCGCGCCGAATTGATTTTCCGGACTTACAAACGCAATTAAACTATTGGAATAATATCACAAATTAAATTAAATTGACAAACAAATTTTGGTGTTCAATCCTGTATTATATTAGAAGAATATTAATGTGCCGAAAAACTTTAAATAAATTTATATGATATATATGCATATATAGTATATATATATAAATAATTAAAATATATATGCATATATAGTATATATATATATATATATATATATATATATATATATATGTAATTTACATTTAAATTATTTAAGCATTAAAGATCTAGCTTCGACCATTATAGGCTTGATTATTCTTACTCAGTATTTATTACATTAACAGTCTTAATAAAATCATTTATTTTTTAAATATAGTTATTAATAAATCATGGCATTTTATTGCTAATTGTATAATTATTATTAGGATTGTTCATTCTTGATATATTTATGTACCTCAAATTTGCCTAAAAAGTAACCTGGAGTATACCGCATAGATTTTTTATCTGATACTTGACTTAAATCACGATTTACATCCAATCCTAAATGTGTACTCAGTAGATCGCTGATTATTTCCAACCGAGCAGTATTACTTTTTTTTAGCTCGTTAAATTTATCTCCCTCATATACGTATTTCATTGGATCTATCTCTAAATGAATTTGAGAGAACACCACTTTACCACCACTATTAGGCAAAGTTGCGAGTAATATGCTTGGACTGTGCCATGTTTCTTCTCTGCCTAATACTTTTACATCAAACGAATGTAAATTTCCCTTTTTGTCCTTAACACTAGTTGACGTTGGAGTATTCAATGCGGACGTCCTAAAATATAACATATATAATTGGATATAATTGCGATATTTTTTCCAGATTTATTTTAGTCTAATATTTTTCTTTTTACGATAATATAATGTATAATATTTTATTTTATTAATACAATGAAAATATTACCTTGTATCTTCGTGATCTTGAGAAAAACGAGTACGTACGGGGGATGCATGATAGCAAAAAATGTGATGCATCATACGCACTTGTTTCCATTTACCATATGAAAAGTGTACGAGTTCATTCTCACGTACTTCGGCAGTCTTAAACGATGGTAGCAAAATATGTAACATGTCAGAGCATAACGCTAAGAGTTTGCCTCCTTGTATAATGTATTCTACAAGCTGAGCACCGAGCTCTGCACCAACATTACCACAAAGAACTACTAAAGAAACCTGATCTATCCAAATTTTGCAACTATTATAATCCCCTTTGCAAAATACATGGATGTCATACCTGTAACATCACATAAAAATTATATAAAAATTATGTTATCTTATAAAAAAATAATGATTTATAACTAATAATTAAACGTAAATAAACAAACAAATACACGGCGAAAGAAGAGTCAGTAGATTACAAAGAGAAAAACAAAACATTTAATTAATTAAATTATTATGCGACGATACATGCGCAAATACGGAACGGCATATATAAATGTGTAAATGTATAAACATGTGTAAAAATATAACAAGTTTCGGCTACAAGATTGAGCCCTCTTCAGATATAAAACGCAA